GCTGCAGGTTTAGGCGGAGGTGGTCTGCAGAGGCTTCATCCAGGAGTGCCAAAGCCAAATTCCACGCCGCGGTGGCCCTGGGGTTCAGGGTTCAGGGTTAGGGTTTAGGGTTTAGGGTTTAGGGCTTATAGGGCTTAGGGCTTAGGGCTTAGGGTTTAGGGTTTGGCGTTTAGAGAGTATGTTTGTGGGCTTAGGAGTTTGGGGTTTAGAGTTTTTGGGTTTATGGTTGCAGGGGTGTAGGATTTAGGGTCGGGCTTTGGGCTTGAGGGTTCAGGATTAGGGTTTGAGGTTGCAGGTGTACCTTTGCTAACATCCCCCGACAGTTCTTTTCGGGCCAGTTGCACAAGTTGGGGGGTCGAGGGGTGTAGGGCTGGCCAGACCTTCGGATTCGAGAAGGTCGGGGGGGGGAGGGGGGGGGGGGTGGGGTTGCAAGCGATATCCCTAAACCCTAAACCCTAAACCCTAAACCTTAAACCCTAAACCCCAGTCTCTAGTAGTGTGGGCTTGTTGCGTACTTTGACAGGCCGCAAGGTTCAGCTAAACCCTAAACACCCCCCAAGCCCTAAACCCTAAACCCCTAAACTTCTAGGGTTGAAAGATGCCACAACCCCGCGCCCAGGAACTTCTACAAACAGCACCCAGGCCCTAAAACTCGAAACCCTAAACCTCAAACCTCAAACCTCAAACCTCAAACCTCAAACCCTAAACCCTAAACCCTAAACCCTAAACCCTAAACCCTAAACCCTAAACCCTGAACCCTGAACCCTGAACCCTAAACCCTAAACCGATTGAGTAAACCTCAGCCGAGAACTCGGAGTCTGGAGTTCCCAGGACCCCAGGAAGTTCAGAAGCGTATGCTCCGAAACTCTTTCCCTGGAAGCTTTAAGCCCGGTTAGGGTTTAGGGTTTAGGGTTTAGGGTTTAGGGTTTAGGGTTTAGGGTTTAGGGTTTAGGGTTTAGGGTTTAGGGTTTGGGGTTTAGGGTTTAGGGTTTAGGGCTTAGGGTTTAGGGTTTAGGGTTTAGGGTTTAGGATTTAGGGTTTAGGGTTTAGGGTTTGGGGTTTGGGGTTTAGGGTTTAGGGTTTAGGGTTTAGGGTTTAGGGTTTAGGGTTGAGGTGCGGGCCTCAGGGCATTGATGGTGCAACTGTAGGAGGCGATGTCCAGCTGTATGTGCTTCCTGACGGACGCGCTCGGAGATCTCCCTAAACGCTATGCAGCCCAAGTTTTAAACCCTAAACCCTAAACCCTAAACCCTAAACTCTAAACCCTAAATCCTAAACCCTGAGATCCTTAAAGTTAATCGGCTTCCGGTTTGTTTAGGGCCTTAAGGTCATTTTTTATAGCGACCTCAAACAACCCTTCAACCTAAACCCTGAGCGTACTGAAAATTCCGGGGTGTACGGTTTAGGCGAGAAGTACGCCTGTTGAAGCGGGCCTAGGAAGCATCCAGAGCCCTCGACCAACCCGCATTTTACGTACGAGCTATCCAGACTTAGGATGCTACTTGGCCCTGAAAGTCCCCCAAGCCGACTCATCCAAGCAGTAGGGGGAAACTCAAATGGCTCTAGCTCCGAGATCAACCCATCTACACCTAATGCCAAAACCTTAAACCCTACGCCTGAAACCCTAAACCCTCAACCCTAAACCCTAACATCCGAAAGCCCAAGCTCCTCTCTTCACATAGAGCTGGATTGCCTCCAAGGTTCTCCTGTGCAGCCTGCAACAAAGACCTGGGTCACTTCTGAGGTTTTGTTTAGGGTTCAGGGTTCAGGGTTCAGGGTTTAGGGTTTAGGGTTTAGGGTTTAGGGTTCGACACATCATGGCTCCAGAAGTCTCTGACTAGTGATGGTGCCACAGGCGGCCCAACCTACCCCCAGCGCCCGAACACAGTCAGGTCAGTTTAGGGTTTAGGGTTTAGGGTTTAGGGTTTAGGGTTTAGGGTTTAGGGTTTAGGGTTTAGGGTTTAGGGTTTAGGGTTTAGGGTTTAGGGTTTAGGGTTTAGGGTTTAGGGTTCAGGGTTTAGGGTTGAGGGTTGAGGGTTTGAGGGTTTGAGGGTTTGAGGGTTTGAGGGTTTAGGGTTTGGGTTTGGGGATGAACGGAAGTTGCATAGGGTTTGGGCGAAAGTTTTGGGCGGGTTTCGATAGTTGCAGGGTTGATATCCAAACCCAAAGGCCTCAAAACCCCAAAACAAGCGAATGACCCTACAGGCCATAAACCCTACAAGGCAATGAACGCTACAAACGCAACCCTAAACGCTAAATTAAACCCTAAAACCTAAACCCTAAACCCTAAACCCAAAACCCTAAACACTAAACCCTAAACCCTAAACCCTAAACCCTAAACCCTAAACCCTAAACCCTAAACCCACCCGTGGAAGACCCAGGGCCCCAACAGCGAGGACGCCCAATCGCCCCTCTTCGCGAGCGCGCTTAGGGCCTGGCAATGGCGATGTCGGAGCCCATCAGAAGTCTTATAAACCCTAAACACGGGTTTAGGGTTTAGGGTTTAGGGTTTAGGGTTTAGGGCTTAGGGCTTAGGGCTTAGGGTGTGGGTTAAGGGTTTCGGGGGTTCGGGGTTTCGGGGTTTGTGCTTGAAGGCCTAGACACGGCGGCCTTGCCTCAGGTGTAGGGGTTAGAGGGGGCAGCAGATGAACGCATGACGGCACCAACACATGGTTCGGTTGTGACAGGTCCGTCCCTAAACCCTAAACCCTAAACCCTAAACCCTAAACCCTAAACCCTAAACCCTAAACCCTAAACCCTAAACCCTAAACCCTAAACCCTAAACCCTAAACCCTAAACCCTAAACCCAAACCCTAAACCCTAAACCCTAAACCCTAAACCCTAAACCCTAAACCCTGAACCCTAAACCCCGTTAAGCTCAGCAACCATGCTGTAATGAGGGCACCCTTTTTGGGGTTGGTGACTGTACAAGGGAACCTTGCACCAAACAAAGGGGTTTAGGGTTTGGGGTTTGGGGTTTGGGGTTGGGGTTTAGGCTTTTTTCTTGACTTAAGGCTTCCGAATTTCTGCCTCCGTGATGGTAGCACCAGGGGCCAATTCCCCCTCAATCTTTGCAATGACTTCGTTGCGCGGTATGTCATAGTCTGCGCGTGGAAGGTTGGTAGGAACCACTGTGCCCGAGAACTGAGCTCCCTCAAAAAGCCCGCAGGAGGATTCTCCGACGATGAGCCCTGCGACTGCAGCTGCGTCAGCAAAAGTTAGGCTGCCAAACTCTTGTGCATTGACAACCAAGGTGTCCATCATTTGCTTGGCGATGTCCTTAACGAAATTCTCATCGATCGCACTTACCAGGATGGGGCTGGCACAACGATCCCTGAATATCATCTCCTCGCTGTATCAGGACCCTATGTTTTAAACAATTTCTGACACGGGAGACAAAGAGCATGGGGTGGGCTCGGGAATCAGCCAGGGCTGTCCCCTAAGCCCCTATTTGTTTATCATGGTGCAAACAATCATATTTGAGAACCTGGATTGGTACCTTTTCAATCAAGGGGTCGCCACCAACACGTGGTCGGTAGGCAAACCGGTTTATAATTTAGAGTATGCGGACGACACGTTGTTGATGTCGACGACCACAACGCAGCTCACGGACATGCCACAGGGACTTCAGACGCAGGCCAAGCTTTCCGGCATGAATCTAAACCAAACCAAAACCGAAGTTTTACAGGACACCAAGAGACCCCAAAATACACTCAGGTTCCGAGACGGAACGCCCGTACCGACCACAACTCAAATTAAGTATCTGGGAAGTATGATTAGCTGGGACAAACCATTCGAGACGGCATTCAAGCATAGAGCAGGGATAGCAGAATCAGCGTATAAAAAACTGAGGCTAGTCTGGAACAGCTCTATGCCCCAAAAGCGTAAATTGTACATCTTCAGGACCACATTTCTGTCCAGCCTCATTTACGCGCTGGATTCGTTGACCCTTCTCCCGAAACACTTCCGAAGAATTGATGCCTACTTTGCTGTAGGTTCTTACGTCGAGTAGTGGGGATCAAAGCTTCGTACTATTCCCGAATCCCTAACACGGCAGTATGGGAAAAAGCAGAAAGCCATCAGATTCCCTATACGCCGCAGAACAGAAGCTCCTGCGCCAAGTGTTCCTTGCTCCTACAACAGACCAAATGCATCATGTAATACTAACTTAAAAAAATCGTATTCAAGCAACAGGGCGTCGTAGAGGAGGTAAGATTCCGTACTGGATAGAAGTAGTAACCAAAAGGTACTATACTGAAACATGGGAGACCACAACCCTGGTAGAGGAATGTTAGGACCGAACCAAGTATACTCATCCATTTCAGGGGCACTGAGATCTTCCTCTGGGTATGCGCCAATGCGCGTCTGCAGCACGCGCGCACGGCCATAGCAAAAAACAAACTAAACCCTGAACCCTATGAACCCTATGAACCCTATAACCCCTATAACCCCTATGAACCCTATGAACCCCATAACCCCTATGAACCCTGTGAACCCTATGAACCCTATGAACCCTATGAACCCTATGAACCCTATGAACCCTATGAACCCTATGAACCCTATGAACCCTATGAACCCTATGAACCCTATGAACCCTATGAACCCTAAACCCTACCTAACGAAGCCCTAAAAGCTACTGTGCAAACCCGTGGCCTTGTTGCACTCGAGGATGGTTCCGCCGACGGCACCGTGGCAGCCGCACATGGCCAAGGAGGGTCGAGGGTTCAGGGTTTAGGGTTTGGGGTTTAGGGTTCAGGGTTTTAGGGTTTAGGGTTTTCGGGTTTAGGGTAATCGATGAGAGGCACAGAACCGCAGCCCAGGTTTTGGGAGCTATTTCAGGGCGCCACTGCTCTGGCGGGCCGGGACGGGCGTACTTCTTACTCGGGGAAGGCTCTGCCCCAGATGCATTGTATACCAGAGCAGGTATCGTTGCCACGAAGCTTTTATAGTGTGAGGAAGTCCTGGCGATGTGGGTAGGACTTCTCTTCTGGCTGACCCTATAGAAATCCCAGCCCTTCGGCGCAACATAGGGGCTGCTCTACACCCTGAGGGGGGATCCTTCTGATAAATGATTCTCTGACACCCATTGGACCCGCTGCAGCCCACAAGCCCTTTTCACCTGCCGGCCTCTGTTGACACCGCATTCGATTTAGGGTTGAGGAGGTAAGGCGGACTTGGTCAGGTGCCAGTACTAAAACCCTAAACCCTGACCCCTAAACCCTAGAACCGTGCAAGCCCTGAAAACCGAACGACAAGGCAGTCGACGAGCCAACTGCAAAAGGACACCCGGTACCAATATTGACAAGGAACCTTATATACACTCACCAAAAAATAGAAATATATACCCTGCTTCATGTAAGGCCTCTGGGCCCTAAGCACTGTAGTCCCGCATGGGGCTTCTTCTAGACTAGGGTCCTTGGTCTTTGTGGCTTTCCTTCTTAGAACTGATCCTATGAGCAACCAGGCCACAGGCCCTTTTCACTTAACACCCGCTGCAGGGGTATCAGGTGCTTTTGCGTAAGGGGGCATGACAGGAGGGAGCTCGAAATGGCGCCCGAAATTTGGTCTTTCTGCGAGGCAGCACTCAATCAAAGGGACACTCGGTTGAGCCCTCATCGGACTTGGTCAGCTGCACGTGTTCGCCAACTCAACCCGAAACCCTAAACCTTACGGAGCTCGACTAAACGCGTCGTGATTGTGGCAGTGGACTGTGGGCTGTGAGCAGATGGCAGCTTCAGAGGCGTAGGTCTCATCTAGAATTAGGGATGTCAAGCTTTGGAGGCCTGCGAAGATATCCTCAGGAAGCTGATGAATCGGATTCTTCTCCAAAGAGAGGTGCTTCAACTGGCCCAAGCCTGCGAAGGCTCCCGGCGGCAGCTCGCTGATCAAGTTGTCGTCGAGGGCCAACCTCTGCAATTTGGGGAGGCTAGCGAAGCCTCTCACGGGCAGCTTGCGGATGGAGTTGTCGCCTAGGCCCAAATACCTCAAGTCGGGGAGGCTCTTCAGAGCTCCCACCGGCACTTGCGTGAGCAAGTTCCCGCTCAGAAAGAGAAACTCCAACTTCTGAAGGCCCAGAAAAACCGATGCACCAAGCTCAGTGAGGGAGGTGTTCGACATAGACAGAATCTCCAGCCTCCCCAGGCCAGCCAGTGAGCCGACCGGTAGCTTGCCAAGGGGGTTGTGACTCAGACCCAGCGACTTCAAGTGCCCCAAGCCTGCGAAAACTCCCGCGGGCAGCTCATGGATCGATGTGTTTTCAAGGATCAATGTCTGTAACTTGGGGAGGCCGGCAAAGATTCCCGCCCTCAGTCCAGCAGACGTTCCACGTACATCGAGCACTTCTAAACTGGGCAGTCCGGCGAACGTTCCAAGGGGAAGTTCTCTGAGAGGGTTGTGGCTGAGAAAAAGCTGCTTCAAACTCTTGAGGCCTGCGAACACTCCGGAAGCAACCTTGCTGAGTCGGTTGTGTCCAATGTCAAGCTGCCTTAAGCGGCCCAAGCCGGCGAAGACTCCGACAGCAAGTTCGCCGACGTGGGTGTACCTGATGTCAAGCACCTCCAATCGGCCCAGGCTGGAGAAGAGTCCAAGGGGTAGTTTGCTGAGATTGTTCCTCGTCAAGTCAAGCGTGCGCAGCCTCGAGAGACCCTTGAAGATGTCTGCGGGGAGGTCTCGGAGGCTGTTGTTTTTCAGGTCAAGGGTCTGCAGCATTGGGTTCTTCGAAAACAAGCCTTCAGGAAGTGTCTCAAGGCGGTTATCGCTAAGATCCAGGACTCTTAACTGAAGGCTGCGCTCGAAGGCGTCACTTGGAAGAGACGTCAACTTATTGCCAGGAACGAACCTTAGTTGCTGAGTTTCATGAGCACCAAAAAGGTTTACACTATCAGTTTCTATAGGGGGGTTGTGCATACCAAAAAGTGCAAAGTGTACTCACTCAGCCCCTAAGAAGCACTTTCGGCCTGAATTTCCAGCCGCTGTCTGCTATGGCTTTACCTCCCAGCATCAACTTCTCCAAGGCCGGCATAGGATGCAACAAACCTTTCCTTGGTCACCCATAAGCCATCTTGTAATAAGGGGACCCTTTTTGGGGTTGGTTACTGTAGAAGGGAACCTAAACCCTAGAACCCTAGAACCCTAGAACCCTAGAACCCTTGAACCCTAGAACCCTAGAACCCTCAAACCCTCAAACCCTAAAACCCTAAAGCCCGAAAACCCTAAAGCCCTAAACCCCTAAAGCCCTAAAGCCCTACAACCCTAAAACCCTGCACCAAGAAAAGGGCTTGAAGGGCACCACTGCACTGCCAAGTCTCGGCAGTTGCTGGAGTTGATTTTGGTCCAGGGCCAGGACCCTCAGGGCCGAAAGTCCCGCGAAGGAAGAAGACTCCAATTGATGCAGATCCGCGCGACTGAGATCCAAAAACTCCAAGCCATTCAAGGGAGCAAAGAGATTGTCGGGCAGGATTTGCAGTGGATTTCCGGAAAGGGAAAGACGCCGAAGGCCATGCAGAGACCTGAAGGCATGCGGCGCAATACTGCTGATGCTCTGGTTGCTCAGGCTCAGATCTTTGACGCGGAGAGCACCGGCCACGTGACAGTGTGCAAGCTGCTTGGCACCACCGACCTCCGCGCAGTGACAGGGAAAGCAGCCATCGATTCGCTGGTGGTTGGGGTAGGACTTGCTCGACAGCACCAAGTAGGCGATGAAAAGCAGCAGACTTGGCGAATACCTTCGACGCCGTGACAAAACATACACACACGTCAAGACACAGCGATCGGAACCTGTGTGCACATGCACTGAAAAGAATAAATCACACAACAGGGACGACAAGACAAACAACAAAAATGCCAAAAAGGCCCCCTAAATCCTAAAACTCTCATACCTTATACATTTAAACCCTTAACTCATTCGTGGCGAATGCACATGTCTTCGTGTCTAAGGCCCATCTCTTCGTGTCTAAGGCCCATTTCTTCGTGGCTAAGGCCCATTTCTTCGTGGCTAACGCCCATTTCTTCGTGGCTAACGCCCATTTCTTCGTGGCTAAGGGCCCATTTCTTCGTGGCTAAGGCCCATTTCTTCGTGTCTAAGGCCCATGACTATGGGTAAGGCCCATTTCTTCGTGGCTAAAGCGCATTTCTTCGCGGCTAAGGCCCATTTTCTTCGTGGCCAAGGCCCGTTTCTTCGTGGCAAAGGCCCATTTCTTCGGGCCTGGGTTCAGGGCCGGCGGCTTAAGGTTTAGGGCCCAGGGTAGGAGTTAGGGGCTATTGGGCCTTGGGATTGGGGATTTAAGGGATATTAAGCCTTGGGCTTGTTGATTGAAAGGAAGACTGGCTTGAAGTTAAAAACTATGATGCTTTCCTAATGCGATGGGATCCACAGAGTGGGTGGGTATATGTTCTATACCAGAGTAGCGAGCTTGACTAGTGAATGCTTGAACTTGAAACCCTAAACCCTAAACCCTAAACCCTAAGCCCTAAGCCCTAAACCCTAAACCCTAAACCCTAAGCCCTAAACCCGAAAACCCCAAACCCTAAACCCTAAACCCTACTCACTCGGCACCCAGGAGGCAGCACCTTGAAAAGTGCCTGGCATTTCCCGCCAGGAGCTGCGCTTCTGGGGCAAAGCGACCGCAAAGAAGAACCTGTCCTCGGTAGCCCAGCAACCATATTAGGGTTTAGGGTTTAGGGTTACAAAAAGTTAATAAGGGCACCCTTTTGGGGATTGGCTACTTTATAAGGGAAGCTTGAACCAAAAAAAAGGGGTACCAGTGGGCCACCAAGTGTCCCTCGAACCAGCCATGCTTTGGGAGGTTTTTGTTCGAGGGCTCGGCAAACTGAGCAAACATGGGCTACTGAATAGTAGACGGCGAAGAAGCCGACGAAGTCTGTGGGAAAAGTAATCTCTGCATCCGCCTTCGCTTCAAGGTGAACTACTTCTGCGTAATCATTATAAACGTTGCCCTCTGTCCCGAAGTTCCCCGTAACTGCTCGCTTCATGACCAGCTTGTAATTGGCCAGCAGCGTCACTACCAGGTATGAGAGGGTGTAAGCCATATCCTTACTTCTCCAATAACCAAGGAGAAAAAACGGTTAAACTTCATTACTCCTACTGAATAAGGAAGCCCAAAAAAGTCTAAAGTCCAGCTGTCGGAGAAGTAAGTATCAAGGATAGCATCCAGGATCCCGGCTCCCAGGCGCACCCTCTTGTCGGAGGGGACTAAGAACAAGATGCTGGGATAGAGGCTGTTCATGCCCAGGATAGCAACCTAGGAAGCCCAGTAACCATATTGCAACAAGGGCACCCTTATTTCTGGCTGGTTACTTAGTAAGGGAACCTTGTACCCAAAAAAGGGGAAAGGGGTACCACTGGGCTACCAGGCAGCAAAGACCCAGAACGAGCACGTGAAGGCCTGTGACATGTTGGCGCCTTCCTGAATCGAGAAGGACGCGATGCCACCCATGACTGGAAGCTTTCCCAAAGCTTGTAGCATCACAGTGAAGAACTGTAAGGCAGCAACTTTAAGGCTGTAAAATCTTCCATGAATCCCGAAATCGTTCTCGTAAAGCAGCTGAATGGGGGTCAGGCTCCGGCTGCTCACTCTGGCCCTGCACCGCTGCAAGTCGCACACAAGCACGAACGTCAGTACGAGGTAGGGCAAAGTGAAGACCATGCATGGCGCCCACGTCGTCGGATGAGCGGGAGGGTCAGCATCGTTTTTCAAGGCGAAGACATATTGCCATACCGGTGAATGGCGTACTCGGGACTGGAGTACCGTCGGACTGTAGCGGGCGAAGTATTGCCCCGCAAGGTACACTGCAGCCAGCAAAGAGCTCGTACGAAGCAGGCAAAGGGAGACATCCAGAAACCAAGGACGCGTTCTGGAAGCGGGCTGGCGCCGGCACGCCTCCTTACTAGCTACAAGACCCAGCTGCTTTGCCCTGCGATGCACAACGTCCAGCTGTGCTTGAAGCTCATTCAGGGAGCCCTCAAAGAACCGGATCGTAGCAAAATAGCTGTGGATTCTTACCACGATCTCTGCACACCTGTGGCCAGCCTGGGCAAGAGCAAAGGAGTCCCGCATGGACATAATCTCAATCACGTTCGAGTCATCATTTCCTAGCCGTACTTTGAGAAAGTGCCAAGCATTGGCAACGCCAGTCAGGTCAGGAAGCGTCACGTGGCAGTACAAGATGTCATAGACACGGCTTGGGTCGCCCTTCATTTCGATAGCTTCACGCGCCAATGGTACTGGCTTCAGTTTGGGTTGCAAGCTCTCCAATGATCCGGACAAAATCTGGCTGTTCATGAACTCGCTCAGCGGCAGGCATACTCGTTTACGGAACGTCTCGGAGTGCCTTCTGGCTTCCAGGTAGTGCTCTTGCAAGCTGCTAACATGGAAGTGAGAAATGTGCACCTCCCGTTGATCACCAAACAGATCCGACAAGTCACTCCCCAAGTGCTTGGCATAGACAGACTCCGCACGCACCTCCAACTGTTTTGAAAGCTCTTCCATTCGGTTGAGCCGAACCGTCGTATACCATATGCTCATGACGGCGATGACTGCCAACGCAAAGAGCGTGGCCATAGCAGAAGCACGCATCAAGAGTGACATGCTGTAGCACGCCGCAGGGAATAAGCTTAACACAATGAGAAACAGTAAATAGCGACTCTCGGCTTCTGCTATTGCTTGGGCGAGCATGAGCAAAAAGAGCTCAAAATACTGACGCTGGGAGTTCAGCGATGAGCAGATCCTTGCGCAAATCCCGAAGCACCGATGCCTGCGGCAATACCCGCTCTCGAAACCATGAAAGGATGTGCATGCAGGATGGTTGCAGGGAAAGGGCCTGGATTCATCAAGCTCGTCCTCGCTGTCTCGCATCTCCGAGTCAGCATCTTCTCCTGACCCATCGCTGGTACTGCTGGAGCTGCTGGAGTAGAAGCTCATGGGCGAAAAGGAAGCAGACTTGTGGTGCGAAGTGGAGAGTTGCCGCAGCCGTCGACGCACCCGACGCCAGCAAGACCTGGAAGGAGGGGCCCCCTGGTTATAAGAACCCTAAGTTGGGTTATAAGGATCCTAAATTAGGTTCTAAGTCCCTTAACTACAGTTATAGTATAGTAAGGAGGCCCCCCTCCTTGTGGAAGGCTTGAGGCACTGGAGGCCCTTGTCGACCGGAGCTTCAATGTGGACCCAGGTGTTCATTCTGCGAAATCTCGTCTGTGACCTGATGGACTCCTTCAGCTCCGCGCGCACGTCCCTTGAGACGCGCTCGCATCCGCTGAGATCCAGGACCAAGTCTTCGAGGCGCTGGTTCTTCAATGCCATGGCCAGGGGTCCCAACTCCTCTGGCTGGTTCTTTTAGAGGGAATGAAGGACGGAGGTACCCCTATATAATCCCTCAATGGGTATATATAGGGCCCCCGATATCATCCCTTAAAAGAGAATATATATATATATAGGGTACCCGAAATATATATATATATATATATATAGGGTACCCGAAAAAATCCCTTAATGGGTATATGTGGGGCCCTAACTCCCTCATTCCCTACTAAGAACCAGGGCTCCTCCAGCTGTGGCAGCTTCATCAACCTGCGGAGATGTGCCACGGTTTAGGATTTCGGGTTTAGGGTTTGGGGTTTAGGGTTTGGGGTTTAGGGTTTGGGGTTTAGGGCAGCAGATCAGCCTGTTTCCATCTCTGCAAGACACGAGAATGCAATCGCAAAACAAATAAGCATCCCTACAGTGTCCCATACGTCCTAGGTGACTACTATAGAGCCCTTAATCATGAAAATAGGATTTTGAGGAGGGGGGGAATTACAGTATTACCATAAAGGGACATAAGGGAATGCTATTATTTGTATTTATTCCGACCCCTATATTACTTCCGACATGCGTTTTTTTCAGACCCCCCCCCTGGCCAGAGCTCCAGGTAGGCCAGCCGCATGTCTGCCAGCGCCTCGCTCAGGCCAGCCACGCTGCGCAAGCGCTCGGAGCCCGTGAGGCGCAGCGTGAGCTCCGCCAAGCACCGCAGGCTCGGAACGGCCCTCGCGGCTTCCACCTTCGAGTCCCTCGTTGCCCTCGAGATGAAGGAGTCCAAGGTCTCCAATCCGGTGAAGCACAGGTCCAGTCGGAGCACGCGCACATCCGGCAGGTGTGACATCAGCACTTGGAGCTCTGCGTCCCCGAAGTGCGAACAGCCGGTGAAGGACAGCTGCACGATGCGGCGCGACGTGTCTGCCTCCAAGACACGTCCCAGGACTTCCGTGGACTTCTGCTCCTGCGCGTGGCCGTACCACATGGCCAAAGCAAAGTGCGACGCAAGCGCCCGGTTCACCCGCTCAAAATTTGGATGCTCTGCTGGGTGCGACTGCAAATCCTGGAAGAAGCCAGGTCCCAGCTCATGGAAGGCGATGCTGTTCAAAATCCTCACCTTGTCGATCCGCTCTGTATATTCGGCATCCTGACGCCAGTCAATGCATTAGAGTATATTCTGAGCCCTTCGAAGCATGACAGGAGAAGATCAGCAAAGAAGCACACAGTACCTAAGAAAGGTGCACGAAGGTGCAAGAAAATGACATGGACTAAATGCACTGCGCCTGAATCTTCACGCTCAGACCTCACGCCAGGAGCGCAGCAGGAAAAGGGCGTTCGCGCACGGACTTCCTGAACAAGCCGACGATGCCGATCATCCGTGTCTCCACGCCGGCCAGGCCATCAGTAAGGACGTGAGCCTAGGAACCACAGCCCCCAGCAAGGCTAGATTTTGAATGCTACACTCGGGAACTTTGTGCTCCCCTCCCCCCTCGTCTTGGTAGCCCAGTAACCAGATTAAGGGCACCCCTTTTCTGGGCTGGTTTCTTGATATGGGAACCTTGTACCTAAACCCTCAACCCTCAACCCTCAACCCTCAACCCTCAACCCTCAACCCTCTGGGCTTCCGAGTCGTCTATCCCTGCGCCGGGCAGCTTTACCCTGCATGTCCGTGGCGCCAACGTCCAGCAGCAAACGATGCCTGGACCAACCATCCTCCCGATGTTCGATGGCCTAAGCAGGCAGACAAGCCTCCCGAGATTTTCTGGGTTTAGGGTTTAGGGTTTAGGGTTTAGGGTTTAGGGATACGAGGCCTAAGCAGGCAGAAAAGCCTCCCGAGATTCCTAGGAGGGCCTCTAAAAAACCCTCTGATTCTGTTTTTTTCTGAATATGATCCCCTTAAACCCAATAGGGGAAGATCTAAAATATCCCAAGAACCTACCTCGTTTCTCACCGCCATATAGCGTCAGATACAAGATGAAGCTGGGCATGGATTCTCAGCAGACGCAAAAAAAGAGCACGTGAGGGAGGGTGTGGGGGAGGAGGGGGATGCTGTACACTGTCTTTTCCCTCTCCCAAACCTCCCCAAGCACAACGTCGCGCGCCGGCGTCGACTACACGGTCACGGGACAGGGTGCTGTATTATTGGTAGTGACGTAATGAAGTTGGGGAACTGGACTCTGCAGAGAACTGCCGACTTAGACAAGACAACGTTTAACCACCACGTGTCACATCATCAGAAAACCGCTCAACCTGCTAGCACTTGACTTTTTGGGCCAAGCCAACACCTTGCCAGGACAATTCGCCTAATTGCGGCCCTTTCGCGAACCTCGCGCACGTCCTTGACGACTTTCGGCGTTGGCTTTCTCAAACGCTGCTCTTTTGCAAGCTTCTCTGCATGTCTGACATATACGATAAGAGTACGCTGATTTGACTGCACGAAACACGAGTCTTCAAAGCCTCTATAAGAAGGATGAACGCATGCTGGAACATAAGCACTATGAGTCGAAGCAATGATGATGTTCTGCTAATCCTTTCGCCCCTTTCGCGGGCCTGTCGCGAAGACTGTGACTATCAAGCAAGACCTGTCATCTAAATCCGATGTGTCCAGCGTGTTAGAACAACCCTCACATTGGTGGACTGGCAGACGGTGAAGAGACCACCAGTGGGAGGCAGGTTGATTAGGTGAAGACTCGGAGAAGCAACCACCCTAAACCCTAAACTGACCGAACCAAGCGGTTCTTTGAGAGCCTTCTAAGCTATGGAACTTGAATGGTGAATTCTGCAAATGAGGCACTGCGGCACTGCTAGGCTTGGTTACTCTCCTAGACAGGGAACATTGCCAGATTGCACTGTGCAACAACGGGCCCGGGCAATCCGTTCCGACATGTTCCGAACAAGCAAGCATGTTCAGTAAAGGTATTGAGGCCGCAGCAATACTCTGCTCGAAGCAGCACCAAATACGCTGAAAGGGGGTTCCAGCTGAGTCAAGCACCAGGAGAACCCCTTCGCACATCTGCATGGCTCTGTAAAAAGATGTGCTTCGAGGATTGCACATGATATCGTCTTCGACACGATGCTGGTTGTTCGCATACGCACATACCCAGTACGTGGTGCTGCCTGGCATCTCTCTCACTCGGGCATGCTGCTCCAGACATGCGAGGAACTCGCTGACTGGCTCCTTGTCACAAACACACAACACAAAGCTTCATGGTGCGCTATATTCAGCCGCTCCCTGCGGAAAAGAATGGCAACAGCTTCTGCGTGCGTGCGTGCGTGCGTGCGTGGGTGCGTGGGTGCGTGCGTGCGGGCGTGCGTGTGTGCGTGCGTGCGTTCCCCCGTGCGTGCGTGCGTGCGTGCATGCGTGGGTGGGTGGTGGGTGGGTACGTGGGTGGGTGGGTGGGTGGGTGGGTGGGTGGGTGGGTGGGTGGGTGGGTGGGTGGGTGTCTGTGTGTGTGTGTGTGTGTGTGTGTCAGTGCGTGTGTACGCGTGCGCGTGTACGCGTGCGTGTGTACGCGTGCGCGTGCGCGCGTACGTGCTCGTGTGCGTGCGTGATTTGCCGTGCCTCAAAGCCACTAACATATACGACATATTGACTGCACTTTTACGGACACCGTATGCCAGTCGTTTCTGCCAGAAAACAAAGAAATCAAACCAGAAGCGAAGCATTGAGCGAGGGTCTATCCAAGCATGGGACACGAACCAGCGCGGCTTCTGCGCACGAGGATCCAGAGACATCACCTCCACCAAGCTGCATCCGTTCTGCTCGTGGTAGCCTTGCGTGGCTGGCTTGATGATCCAGTGATTTGCGTGATACAGATTGAAGGTGCTGAGTCTCAGTCTGCTTCCGGCATGGGCACCGTAGGTCTCGAACCAGCGGTCCGCCATAACTGAGACGAACCTTACGAGCCGTTGCAACTGCTCCAAACTGATGCCTCGCTCGGCCGTGTGCACGATGTAGCAAGCCTCCTGCAAAATTTGGGGGGGGGGGGGGGGGAGATTTAAAGAACGGCATGAGCCGTCACTACAGTAGCCCGGGCAGGTGGCATGCTGACATGTGCTATGCTGGACACACACTGACTGTAAACTGACGCGAACTACTGTGGAAAAGAAACACACTTGAGTCCTCCGCACTGATTTCGGAATAGTTGGCCAAGACCATTCCGCGCACCGCAGTCTGCTGGGTGATGATTTCATTGGTCCCGAGCTGGTGCTGCCCACTTGAGAGGAGCTTGTTTCCGTGCCAGTGACCAGGCAGTCGGCTTTGGGCTAGGCTAATCACGTCACTGGCGGAAATCCCGACACCCCACGGGAGAGTGAGGCGTCCAAAACCAGGAACATCCACCGTCAGAGACATGGTGCAAGTGAGGTAGAGTCAGTTCTGCCAATGATCGATCGTCACTGTCTGGGAATGCAAGATTTTGGCAGGTGCTAGTCGGATGCACTAGATTCACAGCTTCGTTCAATTGGTGTGTCCATCTCAGCCTGTCCGAGGAAAAGCACATGCCCAACATGGTCCAACAGCAAGGTCAGGGAATCAGAGTTGGAAACGAATTCGGAGGATGCGACCGCTTCTTCTCACCAAATGTGTTCTGCCAGACCAACCACTTTAAGTCTCAATGACGCCAGCCCTGTAAGTAAACACAAGTCACCCCCCAGGATCAGAACAAAGCCCCGTTAAGAAACCCACTCCAATCCGAAATTTCGGCCCCCCTCCCAGACCCATTGCACCAATCCGGGGCAGGGGGGGGGGGGGGGGAGTGGGGAGGGCATTCAATCGCAGCCAAGCGATCATTAAACCCAAAACGCCTAACTCAGAAGCCTCAAACCCTAAACCCTAAACCCTAAACCCTAAACCCTAAACCCTAAACCCTAAACCCTAAACCCGAACCCCGTGAACTCATAGGGAGAAGCCTCCGCGCCTTTTGCACATGCGAAGCAGTCGGCGAGCCAACCGTGCAAACGATGAGGCCATTTTTCAGCCCACTGGTCCATCCCACTTCGGAATCGGAAGGTTGAGCTTAGGGCTTAGGGTTTAGGGTTTAGGGTTTGGGGTTTGGGGTTTGGGGTTTAGGGTTTGGGGTTTGGGGTTTGGGGTTTGGGGTTTGGGGTTTGTGGTTGGGGGTTTGGGGTTTAGGGTTGTTTGGGGCTTAGGGTTTAGGGCTTAGGGCTTAGGGTGAAAGGTTTGGGGGTTTATAGGGCTTCGCATGCCAGACTGAGGAAACTCGTGGCGGGCAGTGGCGGGGCAAGCGCTCAAAACTTTAGGAGAAAAGTGAAACTGCGGAGGTCTCGGATTTCTGCTGGCCACTGGGTCGTGCCAAACGCTGACAATCTTTCCGGGGAGCAAGCCAGAACTGCAAACGCATCCGAAAGCCTAAAGCCTGAACCGTAAATCCTGAATTTCAACCCCAGCCAAAGCCCGAACTGAAACCTACACTGGGCCAGGGAATGGAAGCTCCCCAGCAACGGAGAAAGCAGAGCACCTTTTTCGAACTCATTTGGCTTTACAACGGGATCCGCACCTTATTAAGTAAACTTCTCACCAAGCGTAAGGCAGTCGAGGTTTGCGGAGATTGAAAGTCGTCGATTGTAGGATGATGGGGTTTAGGGCCGAGTTTAGGGCGGTTTATAGGGAACCCCAAAGCTGTTTAGGGTTTCGGGTCTAGGGTTTCGGGTTTAGGGTTTCGGGCTTCGGGTTTAGGATTTAGGGTCTAGCTGAAGTGCAACTTCCTGAAGAGGGATGGCGCAAACATAGACTTCGCGAGCCGGGCTCAGTTCGCCTCGCGTTTTACCAGCGTGGACCTCGGCGTTGGCAGTTCCCCTACTCTGGGTGTATAGTGTCTATACGGCCTACCCTAAATCGAAAATCCCTAATCCCTAAACCCTAAACCCTAAACCCTAAACCCTAAACCCTAAACCCTAAACCCTTATAAACCCTAACCCTCTAAAAACACTACCATGAGAATCCCAAGGCTCACTTCTCCCACTTCTAAGTGGGCTCCCTAAGAAACATGTACGGGGACTCTCTTACACAATGTGCTCAGGTATGGGCAGGTATCTACATCATGGTCCCTTCGGGATAGCATGATTTAGCTAAGGCCGTGCACTTGAAATCATCTGAAGCATACTTCTGAATAAGATCCTCGTTAACCCAGTCATGCAGAAACATGTGAGGTATCCTAACTCTACGAGACAAACGGCAAAACCCCTGACAGAGGTCCCCTCCCAGAACCTTGACATCTGAGTTGAGTTGGGGGCCAGTGGAGCCCCCCAAGGATTTAGGGTTTAGGGTTTAGGGTTTAGGGTGTAGGGCTTCGGACGCAGGATCCTCGTGCACTAGTGGGCGCGTGGATTCGGCCCCAGTTGAACTTTAAAGCTTGCAAAGGTTCTCGGGAGGTCAGAGGCTCCAAATCCCCAATATTAACTTTAAAGGCTGTGAAGGCTTTATGCAAGTCCAATGCTCTATCAGCCTTTAGCCCGTATAAGGTGCAAGCCTTTGAAAGTCTCACAGTTTTACGGCTAAACAAGTACGAGGCTTCGGGCAACCAAGAGGCTCCAGATCCCCAACCAAATCTTAAAGCCTTAAACCCTTATACCCTTAAGCCCTTAAACCTTTAATGGCTTAAAAGACAATATATTGAAATGTTAATGGCTCCGCAAATCTTGAACATACAGGTCTGCCCAACATGTACTGCTATCGGCCCGATGCGTCATTGATCCCAAGAAGGAGAGGGTCGATAGCAACCAATTTGGCCCTAAACCCTAAACCCTAAACCCAAAACCAAAAACCCAAAAACCCCAAACCCTAAACCCAAGGCGCTGGGGCCGACACTAGCAATGGACATTTTTTGCATCTCAAAAGAGAAGGTCTACGCAACTCGTTGCATCTTCCAAAAGCCAAGGTGCATGTAAATCGGTTTCGGGTTTAGGGTTGTTTAGGGTTTAGGGTTGGGGGTTTGGGGTTTAGGGTATGAACCAAGAAGAACTGCCAAATCATCCGCAAAGGTCCATGTCACTTACGTCTGTTGGGATTCTTTGTGACTCCGGTAGCCATATTATAACAAGGGTACCCTTTTTGATTTGGGGTTGGCTACAAGGGAACCGAGTACCAAAAGGGCAAAAGGGTACCACTGGGCTACCAAGGGATCTTCCAGGAAAGGGTACAGGGTATAGGGTACAGGGTATAGGGTATAGGGTATAGGGTTTAGGGTTTAGGGTTTAGGGTTTAAGGGTATAGGGTTTAGGGTGAAACCCGGAAGCCTTGCAGTCCAAAGAGCACTTCCTTGCCACAAGCCCCCAAGCCGTACTACACCCTACGCTGAAACCCCAACTCCGAAGCCCCTAAACCCTAAACCCTAAACCCTGAACCCTGAACCCTAAACCCTAAACCCTAAACCCTAAACCCTAAACCCTAAACCCTAAACCCTAAACCCTAAACCCTAAACCCTAAACCCTAAACCCTAAACCCTAAACCCTAACCTCTAGTAGAGCGCCTTACAAGCCCTCGACCCCCTCGAGTCCCCTGGCCTCGTCTTTGACGAGCCCCTCTTGCCGGCCTGCAGGGCTGAAACGACGCAAGTTGAAGGTGTTTAGGGTTTAGGGTTTAGGGTTTAGGGTTTAGGGTTTAGGGTTTAGGGTTTAGGGTTTAGGGTTTAGGGTTTAGGGTTTAGGGTTCAGGGTTCGAGGGTTTAGGGTTTATGAGCATGTCTGCACGTGTGGCACTTCCCTTGTGGTGTTTTGTCCTCGCGCCGCCCTCAGAAGTCATGACCTAGGGTTTAGGGGTGTGCTAGGGTTTGAAGCTTGGGCTAGCTCAGTTTCTTTTCAATCTTTGTCATTGAAGGCGACCCCTGCCGAGCTGGATGGCCTCGCTTGGCGCTTCTACCCAGCGCTGGCGTGGGTTCACACCACCAGCGATGTCCTTCGCAACACTCTTTGCTGGGCTCTGCGGTTCTGTAAAAATCTCCACCTCTCTAAACCACGAAGCTCTAAAGTACTGGACACTACGTTTGTTCACGAAAGCCCCCAACAATCCAGGAAAACCAGCCAGAATCAAGCACGGAAGGCCACGAACTCAAAGGCATTCCACTCCTGAACCCTAAACACCCGAAACACCCTAAAGCCTAAACCCTAGAACCGAAACCTTAAACACCCTAAACCCTAAACCAGACCCTCCCAGCCTTGAAATCCTAACATTCTACCCTCAACCCTAAACCCTAAACCCCAAACCCCAAACTTCCAAACAGGCATTCCATAGCTTCTCTGAGAAGCTCCTGGCCGATGGTATTCAACGACTCGGTGAACGTCGAGAGGTTCCTGCACAGGCTGTCCAGGGGCCATCCAAGGTGTGTGTGATTGGAGCACAGAAGAATTTCCGTTTTCAGCTTTTGGTTGCCTCTGATCCTCCGGACTTGTTGTCCCTAAACCCTAAACCCTAAACCCTAAACCCTAAACCCTAAACCCTAAACCCTAAACCCTAAACCCTAAACCCTAAACCCTAAACCCTAAACCCTAAACCCTAAACCCCACAACCAAAGCAAGGGGGATTAGGGCACCACTGGGGCATCCCGGTGAGCCCTACACTCTGGAACCCTACACTCCCATGAAACGTCGGGTTTTGGGGGGTTCTTGTTGGCTGGGTTCTATAGGTTCCGTGTAAAGCTTCCAAGGGTTTAGGGTTTAGGGTTTAGGGTTTAGGGTTTAGGGTTTAGGGTTTAGGGTCGTAGGGTTGAAGGGTTGAAGGGTTTAAGGAGCTAAGGGTTTCAGGGGTTAAGGGTTTAAGGCTTACAGGGTTTAAGGGTTTCAGGGTTTCAGGGTTTCAGGGGTGCACGTCCCAAATCGCCCCCCTTTTTTCTCGCTCGTCCCAAGTTGTTCTTGGTCAGGGTCGGACATACTCACACGCTCTCCTCCCGAAGCGTACCTCGATGTCTGGAGGAACCCTCAAGGTTAGGGTTTAGGGCTCAGGGTTTAGGATCCCTCAGCCCGACTACACCCGACGATGGGTCCTAAAAACCGAGTGCCGAAGACCTACACATCCAGAGCAAGGCGCGACAACCGAGTAGCGCCATCACCACAGAGACTTCCCACTACCATGCAAAGTGTCTGGCAAATCGTGCCGACAAAAAGTGTGGCGCAGGCGACCTTAACCCTAAACCCTAAACCCTAAACCCTAAACCCGAAACCCGAAACCCTAAAGCCTCAAGAGAGTTTAGGGTTTAGGGTTTAGGGTTTAGTAAGGGTTTAGGGTTTAGGGTTTAGGGTTTAGGGTTTAGGGTTTAGGGTTTAGAGTTTAGGGTTTAGGGTTTAGGGTGTATGGTTTAGGATTGAGGGTTTAGGGTTACTCCCGAATATGGCCCTTATGTCCCCTTCGACTTTTTTTTGTCGACAAGGGTCCCCAAACCTAAGGGTCCAACCTTAGAGGTCCAAGGTCAGAGCCCCATCAAACCCGAATGAAACCCGAAACTCCCAAACCCCTAATAGGGTTTAGGGTTTAGGGTTTCGGGTTTAGGGTTTAGGGTTTAGGGTTTAGGGCCAGTTTAAGGTTTAGGGTTTAGGGTTTAGGGTTTAGGGTTTAGGGTTTAGGGTTTAGGGTTTAGGGTTTAGGGTTTAGGGTTTAGGGTTTAGGGGACCCAAAGCCACAAAAACCCTGCTGCCCAGGTGCAGCAGCCATACACTTGGCCAATGACCTTGGTAGCACTGGCAGGCCGCCCCACCCCTTCTCGCCTCCACGGCGTTGAAGCCAAAACCCTAAACCCTAAACCCTAAACCCTAAACCCTAAACCCTAAACCCTAAACCCTCAACCCTAAACCCTAAGCTTTAGAGTGTTTAGAGTTTAGGGTTTCGGGCTTTAGAGTTTGGATGGCTAAGAGGCTTCAGGGTAATGGCTTGAACTCCAAGCCCTAAACCCGAAACCCTCAAACATTCAAACCCTAAACCCTATGCCCGATAGACCCTGAACCCTCAAGCAGTCGAAGCCTAAACCATATAGGCCCTAAACCCTAAACCCCAAACCCTAAACCCCAAACCCTAAACCCTAAACCCCAAACCCTAAACCCTAAACCCCAAACCCCAAACCCTCAAACATTCTGGCCGGCGACCCCGGCGATTGAGTTCTTGCGCATGTCCCCCAGCTCCCGCCGCAGGCGATCGCAGGAATGGCGAGTCGTTTTGGCCTCGAACTTCCTTGGGCCGGAAATAGGGTTTAGGGTGTGGGGTTTAGGGTTTCGGGTTTCGGGTTTAGGGTTTAGGGCCAGTTTAGGGTTTAGGGTTTAGGGTTTAGGGTTTAGGGTTTAGGGTTTAGGGTTTAGGGTTTAGGGTTGTAAAGTCCTGGGCATGGGTGTTTTGGGTCTATGAATCTGTGCAGTATTTAGGGTCCAAGACCCAGTGGCGACACTTGACTATAACCTAAACCCTAAACCCTAAATCCTGGACCCTAAACCCTACACCCTAAACCCTAAACCCTAAACCCTAAACCCTAAACCCTAAACCCTAAACCCTAAACCCTAAACCCTAAACGGCCCTTAAAAGCCGCCCAGGGCGCAAGGCTTCGTTGCAGCGCTCCAGGCTGGCAACGGCGGCCAGGAGCTTGCCCAAAGGAAGGCTCTCCAGCTGAGCTGCCAGCTGCTCCTATTGGGGTTTAGGGTTTAGGGTTTAGGGTTTCGGGTTTAGGGTTTAGGGTTTAGATTTTAGGGTTTAGGGCCGTTTAGGGTTTAGGCTTTAAAGTTTGGGGTTCTAGGGTTTTAGAGTTTAGGGTTTGGGGCCTAGGGTTTAGGAGGTTTGGGGGCCTGGGGTTCGGGGTTTGGGATGGTGTTTAGGGTCAGGGTGAACAGTCGGGATCAGGGCTCTCAAACCCCACTCAGCCTCCCTAAACTCTCAAACCCCCAAACCCCAAAACCCCAAAACCGCAAACCCTAAACCCCAAAACCCCAGACCCCAACCCCCAAACCCCAAAACCCCAAACCCCAAACCCTAAACCCCCAGACCCCAAGCCCCAAACCCCAAACCCTAAACCTCACCCCCAAACCCCAAACCCCCCAAACCCTCCCCGCTCCCCGAAGCTCCTGAGTCCTTGGAGTTCGGGGGGTTCGGCGTATCAGGCCTTGCTCCCGGATCTCCTGTGCTGTTGGGAGCCCTGTGTTTTTCCTTTTTTTAACAGGGTTTTGGGGTTTAGGGTTTGAGGGTTTAGGGCTTCAAGGTTAGGGTTTCAAGTTTCGGGTTTTTGGGTTTAGGACTTCAAGTTTGGGGCTTTTTTTGGTGCGGACAAAGGGCATCTAAGACTTTGCTTTGGAGTAGACCCTGAAAAAAAAAGTATATTTTTTTAGGTATAAGTAGCTATAATAGGAAACCAGAACCAAAAAAGTATCAAAGTCTAGTGCTCCAAGACCCAGTCTACAAAATCAAGCCCACCAGCTTTCAGACGCTTGCATTGCGCAAAGCCTGGGAACCTACACCTTATCCCGCAGCCAGATTGCCTAAACTGCAAAACCCCAAGCAAACGCATCCATCCCAGCAATCCCACACGAAGCCAAGTCTCAGCTTAAACCCCAAACCCCAAACCCCAAACCCCAAACCCTAAACCCTAAACCCTAAACCCCAAGCCCTAAACCCTAAACCCTAAATCCCAAGCCCTAAATCCTAAACCCTAAACGGGCTTGATCCGCAAGGTCAGCTTCCCACTCACGAAGCTTGCGAACCACAAAGAAAAACAAGTATAAGCCAACAGGTTACAAGTCACCAGTTACCTACTAAATAACGACGACGACTACCACGACTACTTCGTACTTGTCCAGCTTCCTAGACGAACCAGCGACTAACAACAACTCTTGGGATTGTACAGGGAGCCTTCTACCCCCAAAGAGAAATTACCCTGAACCCTACACCCTAAACCCCACACCCTAAACCCTGAACTTTGAACCCTAAACCCAAAACCCTAAGCCAAACCCTAAACCCTGAAAACAAAACCCCCCCCCCAAAAAAAAACAAAAACAACACTTGTACTCCTGGGCCGCCTGTGATTGCCACCGGCGGAGGAGCTGCCTTAAGCGAAGATGCCACGCTGGAGGCGAGAGTTTGCTAGGGTTTAGGGTTTAGGGTTTAGGGTTTAGGGTTTAGGGTTTAGGGTTTAGGGTTTAGGGTTTAGGGTTTAGGGTTTAGGGTTTAGGGTTTAGGGTTTAGGGTTCCTCCGCAGTCCGTGTTCTCGACCCTATCTCCCCCCCAAAAAAAACCCATGACCTGGCCCTAAAGCCCCCCTCGCCCTAGAGTTCAAGAGCCACCTGGAAGCACCGGGAAGCGGGGAGATTCCGGGTGGGGGGATTGCGCAGATGCTGGTGCGTACAACCTAGCAACACCATAAACCCTCTCAAACCCATAAACCCCACAAACTTCTTTGATCCCATGAGCCCAACATAAACCCTATGAGCCTACGTAGATCCATTAGACCCTCTAAACCCTATCAACCCTATACTCCCTGTAAACCCCCAAATCCTACACCCTGGAAACCCTAAAGCCCTGAGTCCCTGTAAACTCGGAAAGCCACACAAACCCTACAAACCTGCTCCCGAGCCGATAAAGACCCTATGAGCCCTGGAAGTTCTAGAAACTCGAGAAGCCCGATAAGCCCAACAAGCTCTGCAGCCCTACAGCCCTACAAACCCTGTACCTGGCCCTGGAAAACCAAGCCCCAAACCCCCAACCCCCAACCCCAAACCCTAAATCCCCAAACCCCAAACCCCAAAACCCCAAACCCCAAACCCTAAACCGTAAAGCCTAAAGCCTAAAGCCTAAACCCTAAACCCCCAACCCCAAAAAAGCCGAGTGACCTACAGGCTCGCTGTACTTTCACCAGGGCCTTGCGACGCTGCTGGGTCTCTTGCCGGGCCAGGTGCTGGCGCCAGGCAGTCCTCAGAGGGTTTAGGGTTTAGGGTTTAGGGTGTTTAGGGTTTAGGGGGTTTAGGGGGTTTAGGGTTTAGGGTTTAGGATTTAGGGTTTAGGGGTCTTTGGTTGGGGGGCTTAGGAATCAGGGTGTGGGGCTTTCGGTTTGTAGTGTTTTTGGCTTTTTTGGGTTAGGCTATTGGGTAAAGAGTTGTGAAGGGTTGAGGATGTCAGGATAGGGGTTTAGGTTCTACACCATATCTGTATTCAAAATTATTTACCATATACCATAGTAACCACATATTTATAGGAAAAGATAGACCATAGACCACATAGATAGATGGGAGCCTTCTCTCCATTGCGGCACTGGGTCGGTTTGTAGACAAGCCTGGCGGCACAAAACGGGAGTAGGGGAGCCAACCCCCAAACCCCAAACCCCAAACCCTAAACCCTAAACCCTGAACCCCTAAACCCTAAACCCTAAACCCTAACCCCTAACCCTGAACCCTGAACCCTGAACCCTAGACAGTAGTAGAAGATCAAGCGTCTGGATGGGCAAGGCGGCCCGCGCGCGGCGCCGCTTCCGGATCCAGAGCACGGTGCCTTGGTAGGGTTTAGGGTTTAGGGTTTAGGGTTTAGGGTTTAGGGTTTAGGGTTTAGGGTTTAGGGTTTAGGGTTTAGGGTTTAGGGTTTAGGGTTTAGGGTTTCTGGTTTAGGGTTTAATGTTGGACCTGCTTTAATAAGTTACCCCCCCCCCCCCCCCCCCTCAACAGTCGCGAACCCTGAATAAAAAAAGACCCCAAACAGTCAGGGGGGGGGGGGGGGG